TAAAATTAGCCTCAGTTAGCTTCAGATAGTTTAGCCTGTTAAAGTTAGCCATTTAGCTTCACATGAGAAGTGTTTGTTAATATTAGCCTCTGTTAGCTTCAGAAGAGATTTGTTTGTTAAAATTAGCCTCAGTTAGCTTCAGATAGTTTAGCTTGTTAAATTAGCCTCAGTTACCTTCAGATAGTCTAGCTTGTTAAATTAGCCTCAGTTACCTTCAGATAGTCTAGCTTGTTAAACTTAGCCTGTTAGCTTCAGAAGAGTTTAACTTGTAAAATTAGCCTCAGTTAGCTTCAGATAGTTTAGCTTGTTAAATTAGCCTGTTAGCTTCAGAAGAGTTTAACTTGTAAAATTAGCCTCAGTTAGCTTCAGATAGTTTAGCTTCTTAAATTAGCCTCAGTTAGCTTTAGAAGAGTTTAGCCCACAGACTTAATTTGCTACAGATAGTTTAGCTTGTTAAATTAGCCTCAGTTACCTTCAGATAGTCTAGCTTGTTAAACTGAGCCTGTTAGCTTCAGAAGAGTTTAACTTGTAAAATTAGCTTCAGTTAGCTTCAGATAGTTTAGCTTGTTAAATTAGCCTCAGTTAGCTTTAGAAGAGTTTAGCCCACAGACTTAATTTGCTTCAGATAGTTTAGCTTGTTAAACTTAGCCTCGGTTAGGTTCAGATAGTTTAGCTTGTTAAACTTAGCCTGTTAGCTTCACAAGAGAAGTGTTTGTTAAAATTAGCCTGTTAGCTTCAGAAGAGATTATGCTTATTTAAGTTAGCCTCTGTTAGCTTTAGAAGAAATTGTTAAAATTAGCCTCTGTTCTATTTAGAAAAGTTTAACTTGTAAAATTAGCCTCAGTTAGCATCAGATAGTTTAGCTCATTAAAGTTAGCCTCTGTTAGCTTTAGAAGAAATAAATTTGTTTGTTAAAATTAGCCTCTGTTAGCTTTAGAAAGAATTTATCTTGTTAAATTTAGCCTCCGAAAGATTTAAAGGGATTTAGCTTTTTAATATTAGCCTCTGTTAGCTTCAGAAGAGATTACCTTGTTAAAATTAGCCTCAGTTAGCTTCAGAAGAGATTTGTTTGTTAAAGTTAGCCTCTGTTAGCTTCAGAAAAGATTTGTTTGTTAAAGTTAGCCTCTGTTAGCTTCAAAAAAAGTTAGCTTGTTAACATAAACCTCAGTTAGCTTTAATAGGGTTCAACTTCTTAAAATTAGCCTCAGTTAGCTTCAGAAGAGATTTGTTTGTGACAATTAGCCCCAGTTAGCTTAGGGAGGGATTTGTTTCTTAAAATTAGCCTCAGTTAGCTTCAGAGGAGTTTAGCTTGTTAAAATTAGCTAGTTAGCATCACGTCACCATGGTAACGGACATAAACAACAAGGAGCCATAAATCTGTTGTACTTACCTGGATTGAACAGAGAGAATCTGTGATTTTCACACACTTTCACAGTAAAATTCTTTAAAAACGAACAAACTCAGGTTTTAAAGTTCTGAAGGTTTTTGCTGAGCGGCCTCAGGTGACTGCAGGTAAACAGGTAACAGGTGAGACAAACTGGAGACCGAAAGCCAGACTGAATGAAATCCTGAAAGTTTTGGTCCGGACCGGACCTGCCTGCAGTCAGCTGGTCCTCAGCTCCACAGCTGACTGAAAACTTTACCTTCTTTCTCCCCTTTTCTCTGAACGAACCGGGCCCGCTTCTTCTTCTCCTCCTCTTGTTTTCTTACAGAACAGAACCATCTGCTCGGGCTCGGCTCCCGCCTGGAAACGGGTCTTTGTCCTGGTCCGTGTCAAACATCCTAAAATACAGGCAGGCTCACATTTCACTGCGGTTTACAGAACCCAGAGAGAGTCCACATCTGGAGGCCGAACCCCGGCTCTGATTGGACCATCTGCAGGGAGGCGGGGCCAAAAGTTTCTTCTGATCTGAGGAAGGAGAGAGGGGAACAAACGAGGAGGAAGAGAAGGAGGAGGAGGAGGAGTGAGGAAGAATGAAGGCAGGAGAACAAAAAGATAAACAGAGAAGAAGAAAGAAGAGAATAAAACAGGAAATTCTGACAGGAAGGAGGCTGTTTATGAGTCGTAATTATCTGTAGTTTGGACCACCAGAACAAATTAAACCTCAGAACTCTGTGTATAAATACAAACTGTACAGTAAAGTACTGTAGTAAAACTTCACAACAACTTTACTTTTAGAACGATGAGGATTTTATTTACTTTTTACATGTTAAACTAATTAAAAACAAAATTATAAAAAGTAAAATCACTGCTTCATCAGAACCAGGGATCCATCAGAACCACCATAGATCAGTCAGAACCAGAGATCAGTCAGAACAAGGGATCCATCAGAACCACCAGAGATCAGTCAGAACCAGAGATCAGTCAGAACAAGGGATCCATCAGAACCACCAGAGATCAGTCAGAACCAGAGATCAGTCAGAACAAGGGATCCATCAGAACCAGGGATCCA